GAGGAATATAAAATGGGAGGAGACAGCTCTCACACAATCTCATTCTGAGATTTCTGGAGGCAGCATCGCCATTTCAGACTGAGGTCAAGGTAAGAGCCAGTGGCTGGCTGTTTTGCTTTTTTGACCTTCAGGTTGAACCCCAATATCTGTCTCTGGGTTTGTATTAATCATGCTACACACGTATATACACATGCAGTCACCTAAACACAAACACATACCCAAAGAAAACATGCAAGGTAAAAACAACAGGCGTGCAATGATTCCATTTTTTTTTGTTAAATGGCCCATGTACGTATGTGTGTATGTGTAACATGAATTATATGAAATGATCTTCATGACTCTTACTTTATGGCGGTGGGAATTTGAGTGATCTTATCTTCTTTCCATTTATGTGTTATACCAGCTTTCACGGTGCAGCACCATTTCATAAACATACTAAAGCAGCATTTTGGGGTGAAAGGACAAAAAAAATCACTTGATGTAACATAGTTTTTATTTATTTTTATTTTGTGCACGAGTCCCCCACATACACACATGCACACATGCACACATGCACACACGCATGCTAGAAAAGAGCATCAGATTCTGTGACAGGTGTCTGTGAGCCACCATGTGGTTCCTGGAAATTGATCTCACAGTCTCTGGAAGAACAACCAGTGCTCTTAAACCTCTCAGCCATCTCTCCAGTCCCTGAAAAAATTAAAAGAAACTTTCTCTTTAAAAAGTTCCTGCCTTACCTCATTTTGTTTCTGTGACACGCTGAATGTATTAACTTTAAACGTTTTGCCTTTTGATACTAAATGTCTCTAGATACGTTGAGCATGTTCACAATTGTGAGCAGAGTCTCTGGGCTGGAAAAAATTAGGAGTCTGATTTTCTTCAGAATTCTATTCAGAATAAAAGGTCTTGTGTTTAGATCAAAATTCTCCAGCGTTCTCCTAGGCCTATCCCTTTGTCTTAGGTACCTGACTGTGGGAAATCGAATCTGCACCACCCTCCTGGCATGGTTCGCGTGCTTTCGTGCAGGCCACGAGCTTGGGGCAAGGGCCTGGGGATTAAACAAAAGACACACACACACACACAAACAGACCTGGGTCATTCGTCGGGAGCCAAATGCCACTTTACTTAGCAGAATGTAAGGCTAATATACCTTGGCCCCAGTAAGGGAACTTCCTCCCAGCCAGGGGGGGCGAGGGGAACTGGTGCGGTGTGGGTATCTTGCCAGGCAGGGGGCGGAGAGCAGCGACAGACAGTGGGCCAAACGGAGACTCCCGGGCAGGTGGGAAATTGCCATACCAAAGATAAAGCAAAGCCCTAGGCTGAATCACCAGGCTATAGCAGAGATAACAGAAACTAGCAGGAAGCTTAGCTGGCTGACCAAAACAGTCCTCCAGATGCACCCCAGGGAGTAAAGAGGGACGGCGGAAGGAGGGGCTACACCTGACCACCCTGAGTGCACATCCATGCCCGCCCAGAGAGATGCACACAGGAAAGCGCCAGATCTCCTGGAACCCGAACATGCTGCCTTGCCCAGTGAACAGGGCCTTCTTCCATGTTGGCTGCCTCAAGGTATCCTGAGAACCTATGAGGAGGGTTGTGAAATGCTTTGAGCTGCTCAGATGAAAGAAACCTCTGCTTTTGTTTATAAAACAACCCTTGTTGCTAGTGAGTCCACCAAGTCAGCCGAGAACAGAGAAAGACCACTGGCGTCCAAGACACCACCAACAATGCAAGGAAGGTGGCTGTTGGCTCTACGTGCCAAGATGGTGACAGCTTGAGGTGGATGGTAAAACTGTACAGTTAACAGATGGGCAGCAAGGGCTCTTAACTGCTGACTCATCTTTCCACCCCCTTCCCCAGATATAATTTTAAGACAAACGATTCCTTCCTTTTATGTGGGAATGCCAACTATAAAGATAAACACACATGATGGACAAGAGTGGATCCTCTTACACACTCTGGTGGACAGACCTACCCTAGCATCCACCCTCCTGAGTGCTCCCTTCCCTTGCAACCTGTGATTTGCTTTCTGGCTAAGGGAACATGAACATTTGACTCTATAGTATAGAGCCTGCTTGCTGGCAGACTTTCCTTGTTGGGTTAATGAATTCTGGGAAATGCCAAGGTGATAATGAACTACAGGTAGCCTCTAGAAGCTGCAGATGTCCTCTGGGAACTGGGGACAGTTTCCATGGTCAATCAGCAAGAAGTTGGAGGCGTCCTACACATGCATGAAAATGAATTCTGTTAGGAACCTGAAGTGAATTCTTGGAAGTGAATTCTTCTCCAGGTCATGAGAATACAACCTAGCCTCTACCTTGACTGACTTGGTCACCTGAACCACAGAGGCTGTGGGGTACACTTGAAGTAAAGGCCCTCAGTTTGTGACAGTCAGCAATGGTAATGCAACACAGTTACATCGCATGTCCCCACTTTCCCAGAGTTGTTCCTTCTGGCTCCTTGTGTGTGGGAGGTGGAGGCGCTGGAGTGTCTAAAAGCACATTCTAATCTTTCTGTCATCTCACTCACAAATACTTTTAGCACACATCCCTAGAGGGTGAACTTTTCAACAGTGCCATATGCCAAAATAAAGAAAGAAAGAAATAATAAAAAAAAGTCCAGTTTAGTTGAGAATAAGAGTGGGCAAGTATTCTACCACCAAGTTACACTCCTAATCCCTAGAGAGGGTGTTTTCTAATACCAAGACAATAGATACAACAATCAGTTCAAGGGTAGGAAAGAACACAAGCTTTTACTTCAAATGCCAGAGAAATGCCATTTTTTTAAATAGCATAGCTAGCAAGCACTTAGTTGCCTCTGTAATGTGTTTTTTTTTTCTGTCATAAATATCTCAAAAAATTCAAGGCTAATCCCAATTGTCCATTTAAGATTCTTTGCTGGATTTGGTGGAACATGTCTCTAATCTCAGTATGCAGAAGGCTGAAGCAGAGAATCGGGAATTGGAGACCAGCCTATGCTACAGGAGTGAGAACTTGTTTCAGAAAGCACACCCACCCACTCCCTAAACAAAGAAAAAGCCCTACCCAGCCCCTAAGAATCGCACTTGCTTTTTAACTTCTTGTGACACCGTGTCCTATCTTAGTACCACTCCTATTCCCACCACTTTCCAGCTAGTCGCGTTCTTTTCCGCTTCGGGGTAGCCAAGCTTATCTCCCTTTGACCCTGCGCACTGAGGCGCGCTTTGTGAGGAAAAAACTGAGCTCTGGGTCCAATGCCATCTCTGTCGCTGGACAGTTTTGTAGTGTTGGGCAAGCAGTTTCTTTGAGCTGGGTACAATAGTGCATCGCAGGATTGTGGTGAGGATTGCCCAGCGAAGGCGGGCAGTGAGCAGGTGCCCACCCTCACAGAGAAAGCCCCTTTCCCAAAGCTGTCTTTGTTGCTCTCCAAACGCTGAGCACCAGAACGTCCAGTACCTTTACTCCCCCGCCTTCGTCGCAGGGGATGCAGGGACTTGTAGTTTTAGGCCCCCAAGTCACGTTTCCTCTTAGAGCTGGACAGCGAGAGAAGGAACTACATATCCCAGCGGGCTCCGAAAAGAAAGTAGGACTCGGAAAATCGAGCATAGCTGCCTGGTGCCTTTTTGCTCTTGGTTACCCTAGTGCACAACCCCAGTAAGCGCTCCCACAAGGCCGCGAAGCCCAGGAGCGCAAAAGCGCGTCGGCGTCTGGAGCTCGACTTGAGCCCACTGGTCCACCCGGGGTGGAGAGAGAGACGCACTCCAAGCATCCTCTAGACGTGCGGTCCCTTTACTGTGTGGGGGCTCCACAGGAGGAAGGAGACAGAAGGAAAACGGGAACATTGTGAGGACCAGTGAGGGAAAAGTAGAGGATGAGAAGTAGGGGAGGCAGCGAGCCAAACATAGCCTGCTTCAAAGGGCTTTTAATCCGAAAGAAGGACCCAATCGGTCGCTGTCGGAGCGGACACAGACCGCTCTTCTGTCCCCTGCCCTTCGAGTTCCCGAAGTCTGGGCCGCTGCTCATCACTCTGCCATCCGGCATTCCACCCCCCCTCCTCTGGGCATCAGTAGAGTTTTCCCAGCATCTCGGCCACGCGAGGCGCTGGGGAGGAAGAAGACGAATTGGGGGCAGGCCAGGGAGGGTCACATCTCCGCGCCGAGGGTACTCAGGTTCCCGGTAGTTGCAAAAATGGTTTGGCGAGTGGCCGTGAGGATGCGCGTGTCCCGAGGCGGCAGCTGCTGCCAGGAATAGTCCGGAGGAGAAGCCTGTAGCGGACCGAAGTCCGCGGGGAGCGCATGGCGCCTCAGGACAGAGGGCAATGACCCAGTCGCTCCTGGGGCGAAGAATGTCACCGGGAGCCAGGCGCCTTCCTCTGGACGCGTCAGGCCGGCCCAGTCCCCGAGCCCTGCTCTCTGGCCCAAGGGGACTGAGGCAGGGACCCCGGGGAGCCGGTACCCCGGCTTCGGTGGCGAAGAGGAGGAGCAGGAGGAGGAGCCCGGCTGTGAGGCGCGGGCGTCGCCGCCCACCCGGCCGC